ACTTACCCTATACTCCTTACCAGCAATCGTTACTTCTTGTATTGAGTCATTAGCATGCAAAGCTGTTGCCAAATGCTCCATTGCCAGTATATACAAAAGCGGAAAGAGAGGACACCCCTGATGGGTCCCATTAGATATATGAACCAGATCTAAAAGTAGTCCATTCACCTTGATCCAGGCTGTTGGACAAGAAGAAAGGGCCATTATTTTATGAATGAACATTGGACCAATTTGCTCCAATGTTCCATTCAGGAATGTCTACTCAAGGCAATTGAATGCTTTTTCAGCATCCAGCGAAAAAAAAACATAAAGGAACCTTCCGTACCTGGCAGTGAGAAATGAGGGATAGTAGCTTGATAGTATTGTCCTGTGTTTCACATATAGTGACAAAACCAACCTGATCTTAGTAAATAATAGAAGGGATAACCACTTGTAATCTGTCTGCTAACGATTTAGCATAAATGTTTAAATCAACATTGATTAAAGAGATCGGGCAATAGCTCGAACATTCAGTAGGGATTTTTTTTTTTTTTCCTTATGTAAAAGGGTAATATGGGCTTCCTGTGATTGACAAGAAAAGGGGCACAAGTCTGAAATAAAATTAAATGTAATATCCAGGATGGGTGCCAAATTATCCTGAAAGTTTGGATAAAAAAGCACTTGAAAAGCCATCTGGGCCTGGGCTCTTGCCTACCAGGAGTGCCTTTATCGTTCAACCAATTTCCTCAGTAGTAGAGGTGACATTTAATGAGTCTATAGCTGATCCAGCCTAGGCAGGGCCGTTGTCGAGATATAATGAGAAAGCTGTGTAAGTCCTTGCAAATTGGTAAAGACCATACGTGGATTGGGTATGTTGAGTAAAGTCATATAGTATTCATGAAAAGTTGAGACAATATATTCATATGAATGTACTAACCCCCTGTTGGGGCAACAGAGTATCGAAATGTATGTACATCCTACTTTCATGCTAATTGTCTTATTGCCAAATTTATACTTAGAGCTACAAATGCAGTCCCTATGTCGGAAATACTCCTGATCTAATGGTGGAGATATTTCATTTACTTTCTAGTAGTTGGAATAGGTCAGTCTCAAGTGTGTGTTTATAGTGAAGTTCTAGTCTATACACTTCCTGTAGAAGCCATGTAATATCTAGGGAGCACTCCCTTCAAACAGGAGACCTCTGAAGCAAGGGTCCCTCTGATGACACACTTCAAGTCCTCCCATTTGATTGTTTGTGCTGTCGTATCTAATATGTGATCCTGTAAAAATGAGTCTAATTGCTTCACAGATCGACCCATCCTTTAGAGAGTGTCATTCAGCCTCCATGAAGCACTAGGTTTCAAATAATGTGAGCGGAGGATCGAAAAAAAGAGCGGTGAGTGATCAGACCATATTTGAAAGCAAATTGTTGCCTGAAGTTGCCAACTAAGAAGATTATGCGAGACAAGAAACAGATCTCTCCTACTATATGTAGCAAGCATTAGAGAATGACATGTATAGTCACGAACGGTTGGATGAAACACCCGCCATACATCAACTAATTGAAATTTGTGTAAACGTTGCTTAAGCTGATTAGGTTGAGACAAAGAAATGAGGATTAGTAGATGTAGTGTCTAAAAAAGGATCGAGTACTATGTTAAAATCCCTACCCCACACTATTCTTTCTTCTACTAACGGGCCTAATTTTCAAAGAAGGGAAAGCAACATAGGGACTTGTCCCTAGTTGGCAGCGTAAACATTAAACATTAAACATTAAAGTAAATGGCATATTATTTATTTTACATTTAATAAGATATCTACCCCCCGGATCACTCACCTTTTGAACATTTGAGACAGGAAATCCTATAGCCATACCCCTAGACTTACTATAATACCACTTAACATAGTGGCGAGTAGGCATGGTTGGAGCAGATAAGGTTTTAAAATGTGTCTCCTGTAAAAATAATACATCTACGCATTGTTTATGCATATTATATGTTATATAAATAACATTTAGGGACCCAAATTTTATCGAAGTCATAATATTAGATATAATGCTATTGGAAAAATTGTATTATCACACCACTTTTGTCAGACGCCATAGAAAGATAGAGAAAGAAAGAAGAGAAAAAAAAGAAAGACACTCAAAAAAGAGTGTCCAGTTCTAACTGAGCTCCCCAAAAAACAAAAAATGTGTCTGTTCCAATCCAGCTAACAAAAAAGCTCAAGTGGACACCTATAGGGGCAAGAGCATGTATAGAGACCTGTGCCCACACCTGCTCACTCAAAAAAAAAGAAAGAAAATCACAATGGGTATAATCCCAACTAATGACAGCTGTCACAGGGCTAAAGCTAGTTCTACAAAAAAATCTTGTGGGTGTTCTACCCATTTTAGATCTCAGTAGGCTTTTTAAAGCCACCTAGGCTGGCAGACCCAATCCGGGTGGCACCGTGGAGTCATTAGGTATGTATAACAAAGCACGCTATGTCTATGGTATGATAATCCCATATCCCTATTGATTAATTATTTAGTTTCCCTCATACATGGGGGCTGTACACCTCAGAGCCCCTGGCTGCCAGCCCCAGTGGCGTAAGGCTGGCCATAGATTATCCAATTTTCTTGAGATTTTTGTTTTAGATTTACCAGAAACCATATAATAGGAGGTAAAACCTAACAGCACTTCCAATTGTATCCAATTAGGCAGGCTCTTGCACTACATAGTTGAAGGTAAATCTAAAGGAAATTGGACAGAAATTGGACAGAAAATTGTATAGCGTATGGCCAGCCTAATAGACATTAACATGGGGGAACAGTCCCACATCGAATAGTATAACTCCACCACCTAGAAATAGGGCTGCTATCCCAAGGAAATAATTGAAGAGGAGGATCTCGATTAAGGAGCACAACAAGGTGCACTTTGTAATACAGATCCATCTAGTGCCCATTGACTCTAAAAAAAGACTCACTATCTGGCTATTTCCATGGGATTGTTGATTACACACAATAATTAATACCGCATGTAATATATCTAGAACCTATTTCCCAGAAAGATTAATTATGCAATAACAAACAACATACTGCTTATCCCAAGAAAATTAGATACACGCAATTCATCTTAAATTAAGTAATTCACCCAAAGTAGCAGTACAAAAGCCAAAAGAAAAAAAAAAAACCCTTATAACAGGTACTAAGTTATCTGCAATATTCCCAGCTTCTAAACTGGATAGAAAATTTCCAGATAGTATTGCTCCACCCATAAACACCAACAACTAAGCCCTGGATACAGAAAAAAAGTTGCAGTTATTGTAATATTGTGTAGAATAGAATAAAAAATTTAGTTATACTAACATACTGCCTATTATTGCACATTTATAACGTCCATGCTCCCATCACCTAGATTGTCTATTTACAGGAGGTCTAGGCAACCTTCCAGTGGAACAGCATACAGGTTGCCAAGGCTCCCATGTAGGTAGGTTTGGAAATGTTGGCATCGGGGGATCTGGTCAGGGATCTAGCTCTACTGCAGGCAGTCCAAGATTTCTAGTAAGAGTTACTAGATCCACAGGGGTGTGAAAGACAAAGGAGAGACCATTCTTCTTCATCTGCAGATGATATGGATAACCTCATCTATATGTGAGCCCTGATTCAAGAAGGGATCTCATTGATTGGTCATAGAACTCTCTGCTTAGTCAAAGTTCACTTTGATAGATCTGCGTAAAGAGTAATTTGAGCTCCCTCAAAGTCTTTAGTGCCGTTCTCCCGGGCTTTATTCATTGTGGCTTCTCTCTGTTTAAAAAAGTCAACCCGGTATAAGAAATCTCGAGGTGATGTAGCAGCAGGGTTCAGAGCACCAGGGATGCAGTATATATGATCTGTATCAATTGGATCTGTGACCGGGTTGCCAAGTTTGAGTGTGTTGAAGATATTAATCGCTGTAAGCAATAAATCTTCCAGTTGTATCGTCTCTGGCATGCCCCTGGTGTGAATATTGTTCCGCTGGTGGCAATCCTCCAAATCATCGACATGTGATTGTAGAGCTTGAATCTGGGTGTGATGATCAGTCATCACCATCTGATAGTTTTCCTACATTTGCAGGATTGGTGAGACAACATTTTCCACCACCTCAAGGCGATCATGAAAACTCTGAATGTTAGAGCAGAGGTCCGCCTTGTCCATTTTGTGGCTATCTTCCATTTTCTGAAGTATTGCTTCCATATCTCTCTTGGTGGGGGAGTAGTTGGAGATATTTCTCTAATATATATGTGGCATGTCTCCCCTATCACTTTCACTGCCTGAATCTGACTGTTGGTCCACGTTTTCTCTGGCAGTTTACCCTGCGCTATCAACCGATCGGGTTGGTGATGAAACATCAGAATCAGCCTGTGAGGATGTTGATCTAGTTGCATGCCGGGACTGTCGAAGCTGTTGGTGACTTTAGGGCTTGTGGAAATATGCCCCAATTTCAGAGCCTTTATTTTGTAGGTGCTGTGATCTGGCTCCCCTAGTTTTCCACTTTCCTGGTTTACTCATGATGATTAATGTGTGTCAAATGGAGAAATCTTACAATGATGTACTGGTGTACTGTCCAAGATGAGCTAATTAAATGCACAAACAGATGTTAATTGACAGACTGTCCTTAACTGTAACTCCACTGAGTTGACGAGCAAGCAGAGTAGGAAAATGCAAAGCAGTAGCAGCAGTAAGCAGCCATAAGAAGGCAGTATGGAGCAATGTGGTGCAAGAGGCATCTAGTAAGCAGTAGGCATCTAGTAACAGCTAGTAGCAGCCATTCACCTCCACGTTGGTATTCATAATCAATTTGTGACTAGGCGGGACCTCACCTTGAAGAACCAGCTTTTATGTACAGAGAGAGAGCAAAAACCAAGCCAGTGACAGGCCAGTATGCAGACAATTGTACTCCTGCAACACACAGCATACAGGAGAACACAGACACAGGCTGGAGACACACAAATAGGAAGCCAGGGGCAAGCCAGATTTAGATACCTATTTCAAAGTGTAGGTAGTGATATTCATAGACACTGGAGAGCCAATGAACAGCCAGGGACACTGGGGAATCACACCTGGATGCAGGGACGGACTGACAACTCATGGGGCCCCCGGGCAATAGCGGATCATGGGGCCCCTGTGTACTTGCCCAGACTCAAAAAAACCTATGGAAAATACCAGGGGCATCTCATGAGGCCCCCTACTGACCCCGGGCCCTCGGGCAGTGCCCGAGTTTCCAAATCTTCAGTTCGCCCCTGCCTGGATGGTACTGTATCCTGCTGACAGACCGACAGAGCTGAAGGCAGAAGGAAGAGCTGAAACTGAGCTGAAGCTGGATGGATAAGCCAAGAGAGTCGAAGTTGAAACTGAATCTGGGGCTGAATCACCACATTCACTGCAGGCAATGGCTATAGGGAGGGCCGCCGAGGACTGCAGGATGTTGGTGAATACTGTCAGCCAGTAGAGAAAGAGTGCTGGCCCCAGATCAGTAATATTGAGCAGATGCAGCAACACAGCTACACAGTAGCATCGCGGGCATGCAAGCCAGAGCGGTAGCAGATGAGCGTCCTCACGTAGCCATCCACAAACCCCTCCCCTAATGAAGTTTTCGTTCTCATAGACTTGTATGGGAAAAGAAACAGACCTTCATCACAGGCCAATACAGATTTAAGGTAAGTAGCAGCTAGGTGCAGGGCACACAGACAAGTTACTTTAAGAGAGAAAACTTTTGAAGGTCTTACAGCCTACTGTTTGTTTGTTTGTTTGTTTTTTAATAGACATAAAAAAAGTCATGGGAATTTTTACTAAGCTTTTAAATGTTAAGAAAAACTCATAAAATCTGAAGATGATAAAATAATTATATATAAAATGAAAATGAAAAAGTAAAATACAATTCATCAATGATAAGGTCTATATGTTCTTATGTTGGAAAATCTGCGTGAGATTATATTCATGCTCCAATCATGAGAATAAATGAATTGCAGAGTAACTAGAGAAATTACTTATGAATTTAACTTTCCAATTCACACATGAAAGCATTCCATAGGAAATGTACTACACTTTATGGACCATGTGAGTAATGAATCTTATTATCTCCTCTTACTTAATGGATAATTTATTTCTATTTTAGCACATGCATTCAGATTGGAAAGTTGTAAAAGATCTTTGACCATGAAATTGTCACGGTTGGCAATGTAAGATTTACTTATGACCTCAAGTTTTTGTTTTTTTTTTTCTGTAATGAAAATGAGGCTCTAAAACATAAAATCATTAGAACTCAATGAAAGCTAGTATAAAACAGTTGTTTTATTAATTCAGGGAATGTTTGCCTGAATCATATAAATAAATGTTAATAAAAAGTGGTTTTAAAAAAAAAAACTAATTTATAGCTTTTTAGCAATAAACGTTGCATAAAAAAATTGCATTAACCTATAGAAAATAATCAAAAAATTCACCGACCTAAAGTGAGACCAATATAAGTTGAGTTTTGAGCGGTTGCTATCTTTCTCTGTATGCTTTTTATTGGATAAGCCTGCCAGCATCACATATTTGGCTGGTTTCGATCCTTCCTGATCCTGCAATCTAATCCTGACATTTCCCCTTAATCTACCTAGTCAGGAGTGACAGCTGAAACAGGAGAATCACTAATTCATCACTTTTTGATTGACCTTAGTTTTTGCTTGTAGATATATCTAATCTTCAGAGAGTCACGCAATTTAGGGATCAGGAAATCCTGCTTTTTATACTGTTGAACCTATGCAGATTGGACATGTGAGATACTGTAAATAAGAGAATGTAAAATATTTCAGAATTTTACCATCTGCCTGGTTCTGATTTTACAAACCATGTTGATCTATACTTCTTTACCTTTACTATTTTAAATGTAATCCATATATGTGTGTATCCTACCCTGAGAAATGTTGTCTGTTATCTTGTAGATGAGCTTGACTTGATTACTGACTTATGTGTTCTGCCAATTGCCTCACCTTGCCTCTTGTATTAACTCTGATTGTACATAGCTGTAACCATACTATGCTCCTTCCTGAGAATTGTATGCCTCTCTTCAGTTTACACCTGTGGCAGTGGACATAGACCCAGAGGCGGACTGATCATTCGAGCACTCGGACACTGACCGAGGGCCCGGGGTCAGTAGGGGGCCCAATGAAATGCCCCTGATACCTTTCATAGGCTTTTTTGGGTGTGCTTTGAGTGTGGGCAAGGACACAGAGGCCCCATGATCCCCTATTGCCCGGGGGCCCCATGAGTTGTCAGTCCGCCCCTGCTTAGACCCATACCTAAGCATAAGCTTATTCTCACTAGTGATGACATATATAACCCAAGCCAATCTGCAACTTTTGTCTTCAACTTTTGTCCCCCAAAATATATTCAATCTCTGAATCCTCTATTATGCATCTGTTATCAATGTCCATATCTAAGCATATACTGTATTGGAACTGGCCATAAGACGTAGGTGGCAAAGATTGGTTGTGTGTGGTCAGAAAGCAGAAGAAGGCCAGCATGCCAAAGTCAAACAAAGTATTTTAATTTATTCAAAAGAGCAGATTGCACAAGGGGGGGGGGGGGGGGGGGGGGGGGGGGGGGGGGGGGGGGGGGGGGGGGGGGGGGGTGCACATAACTGGTTATTCACAGTACAACATACTCATTTAAATTATTTAAATATTTTGTTGGATTTTAGCATCCCAGCTTTCTCTTACTTTTCATTTTTAAGCAGTCAAGTAATCTTAACAAATGCCACCCAGCAGCCTTTTAGAGCTTGTGACGTCTGGTCTAAGTATATCAAAAAGTCATTAGTCCCTGCCCTAAAGAAACCAGCACTGTACCATATGTAGACCCACCACTGACAAACAAGCACAAACTAAAATTGGCCTATTTAGGTTTTATTTATTTATTTCAGGTACTTATATAGCGCTGTCAATTTACACAGCGCTTTACATACTGTATATGTTCCCCAGTGGCAAGATGGGTCCCAGCATTAGCTGGCTGAAGGCCTTTGTTTAGATATGCTGCCCTACAAGGACTCCTGGTATTGCCTGTAGAAGTTCGGGGTATCATTAAAGTAGAACAGGGCTAAAGGCTAATCACGGCTAGAGTGTACCACTTATTGGTGCCAAATTATAGTTGTATGCAGAGAATTTACCTTTATGCTCTTGACAATATTACAGTGCCTATTTGCTTAACTTGGTGTGTCACAGGGGCTGATGTGGTCTTTAGAGTCAAGGCCCAGAAAAAAGAAATCAGATTACCAAGGGGCTCCTTAGTACCATTACAAATACATTAATATGGAAACAGCACAAGGAGCCAATCAGTTCACCTGCTGGCAAGAAGCTGATAGGAGGAGAATGCAAAATGACAAAGAGATGAGCTCATCATCGTGCTGCTTCTCCAGTAGCAGGCTCAGGTGGGCCCAGGCTGACCTGGGCTCAAAGGAAGTAGGTTAAATGATGATGGTCATTAAACCAATGACATCTAGTCATGAAAAAAAAAACAATGCATGATAAATCTCAGGATTGTAAGAAATATTGCTGTTAAAGTTGGTTTTATTTTTTCTTTTGATTAACAAAGTTGGCTCCAGTTCATAAACTATGGTGTGGTGTGTTCATAAGGCATTCATGAGGGGTATAATTATGCAACTGGCATCTCAGGAAAGGAAGCACAAGCTGAAAAAATATCTCAGAACTAAATAGCTGAGTTGGAGACTGAACATAAAAAAAGCTCATTCTACCCCTACAGCCCTTCCACCAAGACTTGCTGCCTGCAGGGCAGAACTGTGACAGTCTTTAATCTCGGATTATGATACTTTTCTCAAGGCAAAAAAGCAGGCACTTCTAGCTCAGCAAATTACATAAATCTCCTGGGGCTGATGGCTTCTCAGCCAAGTACTATAAAGCCTTTGATGAAGTCCTTGCTCCAGGTCTCACAGAACTTTTCAATGATGCCGCGGCTTTTGGTTCCTTTCCAAATGAGATGCTTCAAGCCATCATAGTAACTCTCCCGAAACCAGGGAAAGACCTCTCCATTCCTCAGGATTTCTGTTACATTTCTCTATTAAACTCAGATTTATGCCAAAATACTAGCAAACAGGGTGATGGAAGTCACACCACTCCTTTTAGGATTAGACCAGATAGGATTTGTGAAAGGCCAGCAAGCACCTGATGGGACTAAAAAATGGTCAATATAATAAGGTTTACAGAAATAGCTAAAATCAATTTTGTATTTCTAATCCTAGATGCTGAAAAAGCCTTCAAAAGGGTGTACTGGGGTTATTTATCCCTGACCCTGGTGAAATTTGGGCTTTAGGGGTTTATCCACTCAGCAATTATGTCTCTCTATACTCACCCTACAGCCCAAATATTTACATCAGACTTGCTGTCCCCCGGTTTTAAGCTGACAAATGGGATCCAATAGGAGTTCCCCCTTTCCCCAAAATTTTTTCTTTGACCATTGAGCCTGTAGCAGAATTTATTAGATCCAATGCTTCGATACATGGAATTAAAATTGGTAATAGAGAACACAAACTGAGATTATTTGCAGATGATATCATATTGACAATATCCGGATCAGATACTTCTCTCCTTGCAGTACAAAATAGTTTGTCCTGGTTCCGAAAATTTTTTCTTCTATAAGGTGAATAAGTCTAAATGCTATAGTATGCTCTTCCTGTAGATATTTCCTCCATCAAATGCAACTTACTAAGTAAGCTATTCCCATGTAACTGGGATTCTCCATCTATCATGTGCCTTAGTATACAAGTAACTTCCCCTATATCTAATTTGTACATGGTTAATTTCCCCAAACTTCTAGAATGAGTTTTGCAGGAGATGACACAGGTAAGTAAAACCCAACTCACATGGATAGGGCGGATTTCAGCCTATAAAATGCAAATATTGCCCAAACTGATTTAATATTTTAGATCGCTCCCTATACCTGTGCCTTCATAATTTTCTCACACCTGGCTACTCTGTTGTGAAAGTAATGTTTGGGCAGGGAAAACACCCTGGGATTTGCTATCTATCTTTTACACACCTAAGCATCTGGGGGGGTCTAGGGCTCCCTAATGCAGAAGCCTACCACCAGACCACCCTTTTGGATCAGCATTACTATTGGCTGTTCAGTCAAGAAAATAAACTCTGGGTAAAAGTGGAAAGAGAAGTAACATCTGGGCATGACCTTTTTGCCATGATAATGGCCTTTTGTCTTCACCATAAACCATATACACCAGAGTATCTGACTATTCAAGCAACTATATCTGCCTG